CTGGCAAAGCTCCTCCTAATGCCCCCTAATATGCCATTAGCCTTCTTGGCTACAAGGGCACACTGTTGACTCATATCCAGCTTCTGCTCCGCTGGAATCCCCAGGTCCTTTTCCGCAGAACTGCTACTTAGCCAGTCAGTCCCCAGCCTGTAACAATGCTTGGGATTCTTCCGTCCCAAGGGCAGGACTCTACACTTGTCCTTGTTGAACCTCATCAGATTTCTTTTGGCCCAATCCTCCAATTTGTCTAGGTCACTCTGGACCCTATCCTTACCTTCCAGCATATCTATTTCTCCCCCTAGCTTAGGTCATCTGTGAACTTGCTGAGGGTGCAACTCATCCCCTCATTCAGATCATTAATAAAGATGTTAAACAAAACCGGTCCTAGAACTAATCCTTGGGGCACTCCGCTTGAAACCGACTGCCTGCCAGACATTGAGCCATTGAGCCTGACAATCTAGCCAGCTTTTTATCCACCTTACAGTCCATTTATCTAATCCCTACTTCCTTAACTCGCTGGCAAGAGTATGGTGGGAGACCGTATCAAAAGCTTTGCTCTAGTCAAGGTATATCACGTCCACCACTTTCCCTGTGTCCACAGAGCCTGTTACCTTGTCATAGAAGGCAGATTGGTCAGGCACGACTTGCCCTTGGTGAATCCATGTTGACTATTCCTGATCACTTTCCTCTCTTCCAAGTGCTTCACTTGAGGATCCCCTCCATGATTTTTCTGGGGATCGAGGTGAGACTGACTGGTCTGTAGTTTCCTGGATTGTCCTTCCCTTTTCTAAAGACAGGCACTGCATTTGCCTTTTTCCAATCATCCAGGGCCACCCCTGATTGCCACAAGTTTTCAGAGATAATGGCCAAGGGCTCTGCAATAACATTGGCCAATTCCCTCAGCACCCTCGGATGCATTAGATCTGGCCCCATGGATTTGTGTATGTCCCGCTTTTCTAAACCATTCCTAACCTGTTCTTTCTCCACCGAGGGCTGCCCTCCTCCTCCCCGTACTGTGCTGCCAGTGCAGTGGTCTGGGAGCTGACCTTGTCAGTGAAGACCGAGGCAAAAAAAAAGCCTTAAGTAACTCTGTGGCTGTGTCTGGACTGGCATGATTTTCTGGAAATGCTTTTAACGGAAAAGTTTTCCGTTAAAAGCATTTTCGGAAAAGAGCGTCTAGATTGGCACGGACACTTTTCCGCAAAAGCACTTTTTGTAGAAAAGCGTCCGGGGTCAATCTAGATGCGCTTTTGCGCAAAAAAGCCCCGATCGCCATTTTTGCGATTGGGGCTTTTTTGTGGAAAACAAATCTGAGCTGTCTACACTGACCCTTTTGCGCAAAAGTTTTGCGCAAAATGGACTTTTGCCCGAATTGGAGCAGCGTAGTATTTACGCAAAAAGCACTGATTTCTTACAGTAGGAAGTCAGTGCTTTTGCGGAAATTCAAGCCGCCAGTGTAGACAGCTGGCAAGTTTTTCCGGAAAAGCCATTAATTTTCCGGAAAAACTGGCCAGTCTAGACACAGCCTGTATGTCTGCGGCCCACGAAACACATAGGGAGCTGCAGACGTGGCACACTGCAGTGACTAGGTGGAGAACCGCTGGTCTAGAAGGTTCCCGGAAGCGATGGGATCTCTCCTCTAGCGGAGACAAAGCTGCACAAATTGAATCCAGGTTCTGGTTTTGTAACAGATCCAGGCTCTGATTTTTAACAGTGCAGGTGACAAACCAAGGGAGCTAACCCCCAGGCACAAGTGGGTTTTCCTTCTCTCCATGCCTTCAGAGCCAGACTGGCTGCTTTTTGAGATGCTTTCCCCAGCCTCAAGTCATTGGGCTCAACACAGCGATCGGATGCAACTCCCTGGCCTGCGTTACTAGGGTTGCCAGATGGTTTCAGAAAAAATACCGGACAAAAATTTGATAACATGTTGAGCAAAAAACCGCTGGGGAGTAACCAGGGAGGTCGGGCCGAAATGCAGTCACAACCCTTTTAATTGCTACATGTCCCGAGCGGTCTTCCGTCGGGCACTGAGCCAGGCCCGGGAAAAGCAGAAAAACGTACTTAGTTAGAAAATACCGGACATTTATCTGTCCAGCATTGTCTCAATTTGTTAACCGGACGCAAAGTCCAAATACTGGACTGTCCGGTTCAATACCGGACACCTGGCAACCCTGTGCATTACCCAGGCGTCAGACTCACCCAGTCGTGAGCTCCTTTGGCGCCGGATGGAGGAGCCGGCTTTTCCTCTGCCCCCTCCCAGCGGGGCCCGCCCAGGATTAGCTGCTGACAGGATTCCAGAGGGAGATGAACCAGGCAATTAATTAAAACACAACACCCTCAGGATTTTGCCGGGGGCAATTGCTTGGCAAACACTGTTTACTTCCGCTCGCCGTGCCCACTGCCACTCTGCTCCGCCCCAGATTAGCTGCTCATCGGATGTCCTGACAGGATGTTGGGTACCGTGAGTCACCTGGCCACGGGGAAGAGAGCCGCCTGGCCCAGTCACCTGGCTGCAACCATCGGAAACAGCTTCTGTTTCCGGCAGTAAAGCAACAAAGCACGCCGGAGGTTTCCTGTAGTGTAGGGTGCTCCGGGCTAGCCCCGCCAGAGAGGTTCCTCACCAACAAAAGCCCCGTTTCCACTTCTCCACTCTCCCGCTGCTGAGCCACCAGGGCTGGGGGTCTTCCTGACCAGCTCCCTGAGCCTTGGTTGAAGTAGATGGGCCTGGCGTCAGCCCTCCCGGGGGGATGTAAACCAGCCCCCCAGCTTCCCCCCAGGAAGAGGAAGCTGGTGTGGACATAGTGTCTGGAGGAAGAGCCGGGCTGGGACCATAGCGCACTGCGTTGTGGCTAGTCTTTGCCCCCCCGGGCCTACGGGGGCAGATCAGGAGCATGGCCGGAGCACACAGCAGCTGCGCGTGGTGGTGATCGTCCGGTCACAGAATGAGCACGCCCAGGGCCGCCCTTAGGATGGAAAGGGCGCTGTGCAGGACTATTAAGCTGTTGCCCTTGGGCCCGACGGCAGCCGGGAGGGGATGGCGGTTTGTAGAGCTGGGATTTTATAATCTGCAACACGCTCATGAAATAGTTTTAAAGGAAATTTGAAACGAAGGCCCTGTGGACTCTCGGTAAATCCGGAAACTGACAGTCTGGACCGGGGCTTGGCAAATGGTTTCCTTGTCACCCTAAAGGCTCTTTCAAAGTGCCATGTTCTGCTACTTGCTCGGCCAGGCCGACTCTCTGACCACGGACAGAAAGAGACAGGAGGGTGGACATTAAGACCTAGTAGTGCCCCGAATTTTCAGGTGCCCTACACAGCTGCCTATTCTGCACATGGGGAAGGACAGCCCTGAGTGCACCAGCCCCTAGCCCTCTGCCAGGGAAAGATTCACAGTCTGCGTCTCACAGTGGACATGGGGACAGGCTGTTCTACATAAGAAAATTACACTGAGCCAGCTGTGGTGCTCAGGAGTGTGCAAAATCCATGCCCTGCCCCCCCCGGGAAAGACCTAGGTAAGCCGACAACCCCCGGTTGAAGAATTCTTCCATCTGCCTGGCCCCGTCTCTCGGGTAGCTGGATTTATACAGCGCCCGGAGAGTCCCGCCCAGTGGTCGCGTCCACACTGCAGTGTTACGGGGTAGACGAGCCCGGGGGGCAGCTGAAGTCTGGGTCCTGGGGGAGGCGGGGTCTCGGAGGTGGGTGGTGATTGTTTTCCACGCTTGTTCCAGGATTTCTGCTGGCTGGCTGGCTGCCCTTCCAGCCTCTGCCCTT